TTCATGCTTACGGCCGGACTTATGGACGATGGTGGCACCAAATTCCTGCAGCCGCAAGCTCCACCGTGCTAGCCGTCCTGAAGGGTCACGCAGGCTTGTAACCAACAGAGGGCATGGTGGTCCGTCCCTATCTTGAAGGGACGGCCATAAAGGCACGGACGAAACTTGGTGATTGCCCACACGACTGCGAGGCACTCTTTCTCCGTAGTGGAATAATTCACCTCAGCACGGGATAGAGAGCGGTGGCGTAGGCGATCACTCTTTCGATGTCCTCTTGACGCTGAACGAGCACTGAACCGAGCCCAATGTTACTAGCGTCGGTATGGACCTCCGTGTCAGCATCATCGTCGAAATGAGCGAGAACGGGCACTGATTGCATGCGCTGTCGAAACTCATCAAAAGCTGCTTGTTGCTTGTTTTCCCAGACAAACGGCGTGTCGTCCCTTGTGAGACGAGTCAGAGGTTCTCCTATCTGTGAAAAGCCATGAATGAACCAGCGATAGTAGGCGCACAAACCAAAAAACGCCGGACGGCTTTCTTATCGACAGGAGCTGGTAATTCAGCAACAGCGGCAAGCTTGTCCACAGCGGCGCTAACTACATGTCCAAGAAATTTTAGTTCATTATAGCCGAAGTGGCACTTCTGTGGCTTTAGTGTGAGGTCCATCGATCGGATAGCCTCCAGCACGCTGTGCAGGCGGTGAAGGTGCTGCTCAAACGTGGTAGAGAAGACCACCGCATGATCAAGGTAGACAAGACAAGTCTGCCACTTGAGCCCTATGAGGACAGTGTCCATCATTCGCTGGAAAGTTGCCGGCGCTGAACACAAGCCGAAAGGGAGTACTCGAAATTGGTATAGGCCATCTGGAGTCACGAAGGCTGTTTTCTCACGGTCTCGCTGATCTACCTCGATTTGCCAACAGCCGATTTTGAGATTGAGAGAAGTGAAATAATGGGCACGAAGAAGTCAATCCAGCGAATCGTCGATACGCGGCTGCGGGTACACATCCTTTTTGGTCACGTTGTTAGGATTTCGGTAGTCGACGCAGAAGCGTAGCAACCCGTCCTTCTTTTTGACAAGTATGACTGGAGATAACCACGGGCTGTTAGATGGTTCAATAACGCCATCGTCAAGCATCTCGCTGACTTGCGTACGTATCGCTTCACGTTCTTTAGCCGACACGCGGCAGGGGTTGTGGTGTATCGGGCGTGCGTCCTCGTACGTGATGATCCTATGTTGAGTGATGGGCGTTTGGCGGATCTTTGAGCAACTTGCTTCGCAAGCTGCTCAAAGTTTACATTTTGCGTAGCGCAGTCTGGTTATAAGTGGACAAATCAGGATTGATGTCAATATTTTTCATTGGCGTGTCTGTGGTATCCACTAGTTCTGACGTGAGACAGTTGGTGACGTCTGCTACTTCGTGGGCAAACGCTATCGAAGTGCCACGGAAAAGATGTCGACGCTCGTTGCTAAAGCTGGTTACGAGCAATTCAGATCGGCCATCACGAAGGCGTATTACACTTCTAGCTACACAAATAAATGCCTTGCTGCAGGAGGTGTTCTAAATTTGTCTCGGCCACCACATCTTCATCGCCAAAACCACAGCATGTTACGCCGACTAGAACACTTGCTCGTGGAGGAAGCCTCACGCTCTGTTCAGAAATACGGAGTACGTCGACACGCCTTCCGTCATCCTGCACGTTGATTGCTCGCTGTGCTGAGAACGTGATGCGGCGCTCTTGCAGATCAATGATCGCTCCATTTTCCTGTAGAAAGTCAACTCCCAGAATAACGTCACGGGCGCATTCACGTAGAACAAGGCAGCTTGCTACGAATGTATACCCTTCAATCTGTGCTCTAGTTGTGCAGACGCCCAGTGGAGTAACGACGTGGCCACCAGCTGTCCGAATCTGCAAGTTATGCCACGGCGTGATGATTTTCTTCAGCTGCGTTGTCAGTTTCCCGCTCAGTATGAAATAGTCTGTGCCGGTGTCCACTAACGCATTAACTGCACAACCATCAATTGTCACTGCTATGTCGAATGAAGGTCGGCTATCTTTTGCACCAGTAGGTGATGTCAGACCGGTTTCTGTACGGTTCTGCGTCAATAGGAGGTCTTCAGTGCTTCAACGTTCAGTGACCCTGCCCCCAGAGGTCGCTTCGGCTAGTTTTCCCGGTGGCGGCTGGGAAACCGTGTGGTAGAATACCGCTAGGGCGTTGATGAAAATCGCCTCGGTGATGGCGAGCGCGACTGGCGCCCGGCAGACGGTGGTGCATGCTGCTGGGAGAGGTAGTTATCAATCTCGCGTGGTCTCTGGCCATAACGGGGTGGCGGTGAGTACGCAGAGAAGCCGCGAAGCCCAAGACGGCAATATGGGCACTGGCGGTACAAGTGATCAGCTTCTCCGCCGTGAAAGCACAGAGGCCGGCGATCAGGTGTGCGCCAAACATCAGACTTCCGAGGAGATGTGTGCCGATCGTCAATGCACTGAACTGGTTGCACCGAACGATGGGCGACCGAAGCGCCAAGGACAAAGGGCAAGGGCGGTGGCGTGTACGTGTCTTCGTAGTACGGTACGTGCTGCGCTGACTGGAGTGAAACAGCAGGGACAGGATGAACGAATAATGGCGGCGATGGAGCAGGGCGTTTCAAGGCTTCCGCATAGGTTGTCTCACGGCGGTATTCGCAGGAGCTGGCGCAGCTGTATCAGGAGACAAGGTGTCCCGGAGGGCCTGGTGCAGCTTGATCACAGTTGCAATAGAGCTAACCGTAGGATGAGGTGTTACACCAGCCTTTTGCAACTCCTCACGTACTATATTACGAATGAGTTCACGTAGAGTGTCTTTGCTGGTTCTACTGGCGGTGAAAATGTCGGCAGTGGACATGCCACTGACTTGCCTGTCGTATTGGTTGGATCGCTGCTGGAGCATTTTTTTTCCATTGTCACGGCCTCGGACAAGAACTCCGCGACCGTCTTCGGAGGGCTTCGCACGAGGCCGGCAAAAAGTCCTTGACCCCGCGCATCAAGTGACGCAACTTCTTTTCCTCCGTCATTCTTGAATCGGCCCGTCGGAAAGGGCGCGTAATGTCTTCGACGTACGTGGTCACAGTTTCATTTGGCAACTGGACACGGGCCAGAATAGCTCGTTCAGCTCGTTCTTGGCGATCAGCACTGGCATAGGTCAGCAGAAGTCTACGAGAGAATTCGGGCCACGTCGTCAACTGCTCCTTTCGATTTTGATATCACGTACGTGCCCCGTACGTGGTATCGAGATAGAAATACACACGACCCAGTTTCGCCGCGTCGTCCCACTGATTCAAGGTGGCTACGCGCTCGATGCCCGCCAACCAGTCCTCAAAGTCCTCGTGCTCCGTGCCATGGAACGTCGCCGGTGCCCGTGGGCTTTCCAACGTATAGCGGTTCAACGTCGTGCTTCCGGTACCGGTTGGCGAGGTTTGCACCGAAGCCCTGGTCATATTTGTCGACGTGGTGGGAGCAGTATCGTTGACTTCCGGAGGCCATCCCTTGATTCGGCAGCTGGTCCAATGCACGGGAGTATTGACTGGCACTGGACTCGTATCACGGCTTCCTGGGGTGGTCTGCAGAATCCGTGTGACTACCCGCACCTCCACCAGTTTGCCACGATGAGTCACAAGTATTGGGGGATTTATTAAACAACTGACTAGCAAGCTCTAGGACGATGCGTCAGTCGTGGCTGGCTCTCGAGCAGAGAAGAAGCACGCGATCTTCTTTTTTCTTCCATATTTAGAGCCGCTCTTGCTGTCGACCCACTACGTGCAGGTGGCAATATGGTACTCTGTTGAACACTCGACTACGCATGCTCAAGTAATGACGTAATACTCTACAAACCTTCATTGGGCCTACAAGACGTGGCAAAACCAGTCACATCCGAGGCGCAGAACAAACTCAAGAAGTGACGATGAAGATGAAGAGAACCGTGTGATGACGGTTATGTATAGGTGACAAAGTGCCTTATAAATGCCCCCAATATCTGCAATGTATCCTTGATTTGTTGACCTGTTTACATTGCAATGACATTATTCAACTACACACATAGTGGTTATCTGGTGTATCCTTGAGCCTTCAAATAAATCACATGAACTTTATCACGGTGAATAGGCTACCTCCCTTTTTCTTCTTTCTGCTCAAACAGCTTCTTGTTTCGTGCTATTTCCTTCTGCAAAACTTGTGATTTGTCGATTTCATAGCAGTACAAGTTAAACAAGCATAAATAACAAAGTAATCAACACTTACGGTTCTTTAGATTTGAGTTTAACGCCCAATGTATCCGGCAGTTTTTTTTTTGCTTTTTTACTTCATCAGCACTGCAATTGGCTTCACTCGAGAACTTAGAACTGTAGAAAGTAATGCGTAATTTATGCTAGCCGTAACTGTGCCCCCTTCCATAAATAGCGGGATATTATTTCAAGGGAGAATAACATAATCGTCAGCAACGCAGTAGTTTATCGATGTTGCGTATAATGTCTCGGTATAGCGGAATCATGCGAAATTAGCGAGTAACAAAGCATGGGAGGTCAATGTTTGCGTCATTTCTGCAGATGCAGAGTTGCGTGGGGGCGCTACAAAAAAAAAGGTGGGGAAAGGGGGGGGGGGCTTCTGAAACTTATTGTTTTCGTGGTGTCAATCGCACGGTTGCTTTTGACGATGACAACTGCTGTGTCAGTGAACACCTCACGTAAAGGCAACGCTCAGCTCTGAGAACAACAAGCGGCGTACCGACGGAGACTAACTTTACCTTACCTTTTTTTTCTTCACCAAAGTACTACAGCCGGTCAAGTAAGCTTTATCGCTTTTTTTCTCAAGCCATTTGAATAGATATGAATGTTCAGCGCCCCCAAAATAATTTGCAGCTGGTATGGATTTGAGTCCTCCCCGTTCATCAAAGACGAATTCCCATCCTATTTAATATACGTTTCCCAGCGAAAACGTACAGCGCAGATTCACGGCCACACTCACATCTGGTGGTACGAAGACGTCGTAGCGTTCCTTATTTTCGTCCAGCAACGAGGCCGTGTCCTTAGCCACTTGCTGCAGGTAGTTGAGCACGCCAGCAACGTCCTCGCTATCCGCCGACGCGTCATCGGTCTCGTTTGAGTCGTCTTTGGCTACCTCTGTGTTCTGCAAGGGGTACAAAACAACTGAGGGCACACTGATCTACGACCACCCTGTCTGTCACACAGAATCGATTACACAGTACGAATAACGATAACAACATATAATAATGAGATCTAACAGACAATCATGCCAAGGAAACTACAGTTGATGTTATACGAGTTAGTTGTAATGTAAGTGTGAAGAGGTAATAGTAGATGAAAAGGTAACTCGCCGTGGGCAGAGACCGAAGCTGCGACCTTAGAATAATGCATTCGGTGCTCTAGACTATCCCTGCCCACGGCAAGTTAGCTTTTCATCACTTTTCTTTATTCGCATTTACAGTACAATTACCTCATATAACATCTTCTATACTTTCACTGGCATGGTTGTCTGTTAGATCTCATTACTATTCTGTTTAATTAAGAAAGCGAGCCTTCAGTGTACACTTCCTCCCTTCATAGTGACAAAATACGGCAATTGAGTGGCCGAGGTTATTAAACCTGGGCCTCTCCACTACGATAAAAATCAACACAGAACAAAATATTAGTAACCTTTTAAGGGCTAAACTTGCTCATAGGAGTCGTGGCAGCAGCAAACTTTGTAATTGAATGTATATTTCTCCTTCTTACAACGCCGTAGAAGGGAAAAATTAAGGACGAATGACGCAACACAACTGACATTCAAGTTGTATACTGTTAACTCAGTCGTTTTATTATATATAAATATTTCGCGATGTAAGGACTAACAAAAAGCATAAAAGCCATTCCTTCGTAGCTTTACGTCATATTAGAATTAAGCAAGTAATCGTGAAGCGATCACCGTATCTCTTAAATCATAGTTTATGCCCTCAAGATCACTTGAAGTGAAGACGCTATTAATTAGCAGCTTGAGTGAGCTCTTGCGTCCAAACGCCGGGCAACCACAAGAACGTGGTCTAACGCTTTTTTTTTTATCTCACGAGAAACGACGCGAGCGCTGCGACACACATTTAACCCGATCTCTTCACTAAAGGTGCGAAAGTACTCAGTCGCTTCAGTAGCCCAATCATGGCTCGAACACATCCATGCATACATACTCCCTGTGATTGATTAACTTTTGTTAGAAGTGTTGAAAACTTATTGCGTTGATTTCTCGCTCTACAGTCTGTTGTAACGGAAAAGCAGAAATGTAAATATAAATACACGAAAAAATATCCACCAAGATCAAGTGAAAGTATGAAACAAGCGCCATTGCAATGTTCTTCAAATTGCGGCTCATCCTTGTTTGCAAAGAGGATGTCATTTCAATGACAAATACATCAATTGGAAATGCAATTTAGTGTTTGTACAGTTGGTGATCGCATGCTAACAAACAGCTTCGAAAGCTGGACTGAAGCAGCTGTAGTCCAGCTTGCCTTAGCTTCGACACGCCATGCGTTCTTAAAGGGTAGGCACAGCGTCCTACTGAGGCAACCTACTAAGCACACCCATAGATGTGGTGAATCAGACACCAACTCTATACCTAATGGTAACCTACCGTGGTTACATATAGACCACAGTTGTAGTTATGATCGATAGGTTACCTACTGCATAGATATTCACAAACTATAAGGACACACCTACAGGGGCAGTCATTCTGTTCCTTTATTAGGACGAATTATTCGGAATAATAGGTTACATTAAACGGCTACCAATATGTGCAGAATACGTAACCAAACTGATTGAATATACAGCTCTCCATTCCATTCACAGCTCATCGGCGCCGTGGGGTGAACAAGTGAGTACGAAACAAGCTTAGAGCCCGAGGTGATATGATCAAGAGTTAGGTATATCGGCGCAAATCGGCATTATCTTCTGTTGCACTGATAACGTCAAAGCGGCGAGATGGAGTACCACAAGTGGCACTTTGTATTTGCTACAGACGCAATCATAACGAGCCAGCAATAGAGTTTGGCTCTTTACGCAGACTTCAGCAGCAAAAACGCTTATTATGCAGCTGGCGTTAATAAAAACACTCGCCACTGATCACCCGAACAAGGGGCTACTGATCATAGCAGTTCCTTCTTTAAAAAATGAGCTCGCGAACAAGTGAACTCCATGGCATTTCGATTAGCGTATCTTCTGCGCAGTATCAGGTGGGGAAGCAGAACAAAAACAGGAAGATGTTGGTGAACAAGCGGAAAGAGTCTACAAGAGCAAAGCAGACGAATAACAATGCCGGCAGCTTGTGAGATACCCAGCGTACGATGTCGTGCATTTCCGCCAACCTTACAAATCCTGCACGCTTTGGAGCGACCTGGAAGCTCTTTCTTTCGTACTAGTGGTGCCGAAACAAAGAAACTCTTTACTTCACTCATGCTGACTGTCTAGTGATTCAAGACTTGTCCTACACTGGTCCTGCACGCGTTTCGACCTGTACAACCATAGAGCTCGTGAATGCTAGTGTCGCCTTATCTAAAAGCCTATACCCCTTCTTTCATCGTTGTTTTAGTGTACGAGTATGCATAATCATCACTAGTATACTGTAGTAGAAGCGAAAGGAGAGTGAGACTTAATTCTCATGGACAGCGCACAAAAGAAAACATACAAGAGCAGAAAACAGGACAACCGCTGGTCAAAACACTCAAACTTTATTTAGAAGCACACACACACACACACACAAATATATATATATATATATATATATATATATATATATATATATATATATATATATATATATATATATATATATATATATATATATAATAATGAGATATTACAGTAATGCCAAGGAATGTACAGGGGAAGTTATTATATTCAATGGAATGCAACCCAAAAACGTGGATGGAGAGAGGCCCGCTGTGATAGCTCAGTGGTTAGAGCATCGAACGCGTAATTCGAAGGTCGTAGGTTCGATTCCTGCTCACAGTTGGTAATTTTTTCATCCACTTTTCTTTCTTCTTATTTACATTCCATTGATTATAATAACTTCCCCTGTACATTCCTTGGCATTACTGTCTGTTATATCTCATTAATATTGTGTTAAAACACGGAAAAACGAGCCCTTAGGTATACACTTCTTTCCCTTATTTCATTGAACGAGGGTCTCGTACTGGCAGACTTGGTGTGTTTAGGTTGTATAAGAGGGACAATTAATCAGCTGCCCGCTCATAATAAGTTCACGTGCTACGTGACGCCAAACATGCGCATAAGAGTGTTTTCACACTCGTTGTTTGGCTTATAGATGGCGCTGACTGTCGCTCCTACTTCTAAATTCACAGATAAACCCAAAAAAGTGGATGGAGAAAGGGCCGCTGTGATAGCTCAGTGGTTAGAGCATCGAACGCGTAATTCGAAGGTCGTAGGTTCGATTCCTGCTCACAGTTGGTAATTTTTTCATCCACTTTTCTTTCTTCTTATTTACATTCCATTGATTATAATAACTTCCCCTGTACATTCCTTGGCATTACTGTCTGTTATATCTCATTAATATTGTGTTAAAACACGGAAAAACGAGCCCTTAGGTATACACTTCTTTCCCTTATTTCATTGAACGAGGGTCTCGTACTGGCAGACTTGGTGTGTTTAGGTTGTATAAGAGGGACAATTAATCAGCTGCCCGCTCATAATAAGTTCACGTGCTACGTGACGCCAAACATGCGCATAAGAGTGTTTTCACACTCGTTGTTTGGCTTATAGATGGCGCTGACTGTCGCTCCTACTTCTAAATTCACAGATAAACCCAAAAAAGTGGATGGAGAAAGGGCCGCTGTGATAGCTCAGTGGTTAGAGCATCGAACGCGTAATTCGAAGGTCGTAGGTTCGATTCCTGCTCACAGTTGGTAATTTTTTCATCCACTTTTCTTTCTTCTTATTTACATTCCATTGATTATAATAACTTCCCCTGTACATTCCTTGGCATTACTGTCTGTTATATCTCATTAATATTGTGTTAAAACACGGAAAAAACGAGCCCTTAGGTATACACTTCTTTCCCTTATATATATATATATATATATATATATATATATATATATACTGAAAGCATAAGAATACCCCTAATAGATAAAACATGTTTTTTGTTCTGTTGATGTGACAGATGGCTAGCTAACGCAATTGCAAACACACTTCACCGTGTGATATACCTCAGCAATCTCACGCATTCATTGATAATTAGCATCACCATTATTAGCCTGGCTACTGTTGCGACTCGGGTTCGGTGGCTCTCATCGCTCGTAGTTGTCAACTCTATCAGACTCGTCACTAATAAATAGGAGCCACGCTTCTACGGGAAAACAAAGTGCAGACGTTTATTTGCATTAGAGAGAGAGATAAAAAAAGGAGCGTTAAATTACATAGTGGCGCTTTTGTTTCAAATCACCTCCATGTAGTAAACAAGGACTGATCATATAGAGGCTCGTTTCCCCAGACCCGTGAGGAAAAGAAAGTGATCCGAATTACGCTTTCCGATCCAAGGGCATGCACGACTTTCAACGGGGCCACGTGCAGCCACCCACGTCAGTGTCCTTACTGAGGCGGAGTCACCAACTGCGGCACCACGGTTTCTCCTCGTGAGAAGGTCCCTCGGTGATGGATGTCACGCTCCTACAAACGCACCGAAAGGGCAGAAGCGACTTCGCTGTTCCTTCGAGTAAAGATGCCGCGACCAAAACCCATTGTTGTCGATTGCGACGCCGGACTGCAGGGCGCCTATCTCCCCTGCTTGCAATGACGATGCCCGGGCTGGAACGGCTTTCTGAAGGCTGGCAGCCTCTGTGCAACCCGTTCGCAGTACACGAAATTCAGCTTCCCATTTCAGTCTACGTACCGAACCGAACAGTGCGCCTACTGCGGGGCAAAGAGTCTTTCCCCGTTTCGCCAATTCACCCAATCCTGTGCTCGCTACGAACTCGTTCTTAAATCTCATCCATCCACCCTACTTTGTCTCCCCCTGGTGCATTCGCTTTCTCAGCAACGGCTACCTTGCTTTCTGCTATATGCCCTACCATGCCTATTTATTTTTCATTTCGACTAAGACGTCCTTAACACCAGTTTGTTCACTAAACTCCTGTGGTTTCTCCCATCGCCTTAAGGTTTGTTATATCAATCGTTTGCTTTCCGCGTCTCGATGCGGTGTTCTCAGTTCAAACTGAACCCTTTCCGTATGCCTGTAAATTTCTGAACCGTGAATACCGATTAGATGGAGCTGTTTCATACCTCTCTCTTGGGGATAGTAGTAAACTACCATTCATGATGGGATAATCTTGGAATTCCTATTCTTCTGGTTACCTCAGTCTCATGTTTCCCACGTGGTAGGCTACGCAGGCACTTGCAAGTATTCTAATATAACAGCTCAGCAACCGGTCTGCAAGCTTCGGTGACAATCAGTTCAAAAGAGGGCTCACCTTAGGCTTCCTCTTCATTGCCTGAGCTTTGAGGGCATCCTTGAGGGCAGAGATAGAGGCCGCAGAAGCAACTGCAGCATCAGCGTTGTCCTCCGCACTAGAGAGAACTTCACCGGACGTGAGGAACGCGCCTTGAACGGCCGCACCGTCCAGAGGGGGAAAGTACACCTCGTCGGCAAACTGAGGCGTGGTACCTTCTTTCAGACCACTGTTCGGTGTGAACCTGCGGTGGTACGTGGAAAGAAAGGCACCTTTAAACAACGACCACGTGTAGAAATATTAGCTTTGTGCAGGTGAGGAAGTTCACTGTGAGACCTCGATATTACGGAAGGGTAGAAAAAAATAATAATTAGAGGTGATCTACGCGTTAACATAACGAGACAATTAAGAGGCTTGCTGTAGTGAATGGTTCCGGAAATCGAAACCGTCTAGTGTTCTTTTACGGGCTTTGGCATCGCACGGTAGACGAGCCTCTAAAAGTTTCACCTTAAGCTAAATGAGACCGCCACTGCCAGTGTCGAACCCATTACCAACCCGTCACCTACAGATTGGCAGCTGAGCATCGTAGTCACTGGACTACCATGGCTAACATAGCTCAAGAGAGAGAGAGAGAGATAAAGATGCAAGGAAAGGCAGGGAGGTTAACCAGACGCACATATGGTTTGCTGGGAAGGGATGAAGGGGAAAAAAAAGTTTGCAGAGAGATAAGAAGTTACACACAATCACGAGCACACTCGGAAGAGCACACACAGTCTACAGGCGGTCGCTCAGGTTTGTTGTCTTTAAGTAAAGTAGGAGTGCTCTAGTCGCTTTCTACGCAATCGAGGCAGATGTCCAAGGTCCCAGAATCTTCTGCACACCGAATGGTCTAGAGTCAAGTTGATTCAAAACCATCCGGAGCTGGCATCGCTGCGTGTCGTAGCAAGCGCAGCTGCACAGGACGTGTTCAATGGTCTCTTCAGCTCCACAGGAGTCGCATGCAGAGGTGTCTGCCGTAGAAATGCGAAAGGAGTACACCTTCGTGAAAGCAACACCCAACCAAAGGCGGCATAACAGTGTCGCATCGGAGCGGGAAAGTTGTGATGGTAGCTGTATCTTGAGCGAAGGATCCAGTTCTCAAAAGTGACACCTATGGAAGCTGGTAGAGGACCAGAACGTGCGTGTGAGATCTCGATCCAGCAAGTAAAGTTGTCTTGCTGCATCAGTCCTTGATAGAGGAATCGAGACCACACGGGTTCCTTCATGGGCTGAACGGGCTGCATCATCGGCTAATTTATTTCCGGTAATACCGATATGTCCAGGCAACCATTGATATATAATATTATGCCCTCGTGCTAGAGCTTCATGGTGACAATGTCTTATTACATGTACCAATTGTTTATGATTCCTCCTACGCATAGCAAACTGCAAACTCTGAAGTGCTGTTTTCTAGTCACAGAATATGACTCAGTTTCCTGGACGCTCTTGAACGAGATATTGTAAAGCAGCTCTTATATCAGCAAACTCTGATGCCATAGACTTAGTCATGTGTGACAACTTAATTTTAATTGTCATTGCTGCAGCCGGAATCACAGCGGCACCTGATGAGCTGTTGGACGAGACGGACCCATCAGTGTATATCTGCGTTCGGTCCAAGTACAACTCATATAATAATAGCAGTGTTGCTTGCTTCATTGCTACTCTGGAGTGGTTGCTTTTCTTTTTGATTCCCGGAATTTCTAGACGTACTTGCGGCTGGTCGAGGCACCACAAAGGAGATGCAATTCTCGTAGCTGGCGTGTATCCTGATGGAATGCTGTTTAGGTGCTTGGCTATGACGTCTGAAAAGGTAGCACGTGGTCTTTCGGAGAGTAGAAGGGCCAAGTGGTGGTCGGGGACACAGCTAGCATGTCGAATGTGTGCTCTGAGGCAATCCACAACTCTATATGTCCTGACCGCATGGTCTTTGGCAAGCATGATTGTGGCATAAGTAGAAGCGCATCGGGGCAGTCCAAGGCAGATACGCAGCACCTGATCCTGCAAACTCTCTAACGAACGAGTACTGGATTTGCCAGTGTTAGTCAGTACCGGCAAGCTGTAGCGCAATAGACCCAGAAATAGGGCCCTGTACAGCTGTAGCATAAAGGCCACAAAAGTTCCGCATGCTTTCCCACACATGAATTTCATTATATGCACAATAGATAGCAGTCTCTTCTTAGTGTACGCACAATGCGGACTCCACGAAAGACTTCAGTCGATTATTACGCCCAGGAAATGATGCGTCCGTGCATATTTGACACTCTGCTCATTGATGTAAACAGGGTATGGCGTCATTGGTTTGCGTGTAAACGCAATCAATGCGCACTTCCCAGTTGATATAGTCAGGCCTTGTTTCTGAAGGTAGGCTGTTGTGAGGGTTGCTGCCCGCTGTATTCGTGCACGCACCTGAGGGCGAGTAACTGCAGCACTCCAGAGGCAAATATCATCGGCGTGTATGGATAGGCACACCGACCTCGGCAGAACCTCCACCAGACCAATGAGGGCAACATTGAACAATGTGGGGCTTAAAACACCTCCTTGAGGTACTCCGCAGTAGGTGTAATGTTCAGAAGTTTTACCCTCATCCGTTTGCACAAAGAAACCCCTGCTAGTTATATAATCTTTTATTCATTGAAACATTCGTCCACCAATGCCCATTGCTGCGAGAGAAGTGAGGATTGCATCGTGAGCTACATCATCATATGCACCCTTCACGTCAAGAAAGAGTGCCACTGATATGCGCTTGCGACTTTTTTCTTTCTAAACAAATGTCGATAAGTCAAGGACACAGTCGATGGAGGAGCGACCCCGACAGAAGCCTGCCATGCAGGAAGGGTAGCTGGTGTATCGTTCCAAGTACCACTCGAGACGAAATAGAACCATTCTTTCCATCGCTTTTCCGAGGCAGCTTGCGAGGGCAATAGGGCGATACGCTGTCAAGTCCAATGGTGATTTTCCCGATTTCAGAAATAGTATTAATCGACTTATTTTCCATTCTCGGGGAAGACTGCCGCTGAGCCGGGACAGAGGTCAAAAGAACAAGAAAAGCTTCCGGGTGGTGCACAATACCTCACGTACGTTTATGATCTCCTGCGTGTACGAGATTAAAAATACTGGCCGCTATGCCACCCTGCGACAATAAATATCCAGCGACGTTGTGTCAAACACCAAAGATGCAGGGGGGGGGGAGATGTTTTATTTATTACTTTACAGTAATTTAAGTCATAAGCGCTTGGAAGTCCATGTGCTAGACCGTGGTTAGCTCAGCGATAATTTTCATCAAGACGATATTGTTCTTTTCATCTTTCATCAAACATTGAATTCACGCTAGCGTGGCCTAACCAGCAGTCTGAATGAACCGATTGAGTTGCTTGACTTGTCTCTCTTTTATAAATGAAAGCGAGAAACACGTAGAAAGAAGGAAGGGCTATTCGATGTCACTCGAAGCCCTCCTGTGAAGTGCCAGGTACCTGCAGCTAAATCTTCACTGGAAACGCGTGGGATTGTTCACAGGCGCCTTTTCAACAATCACGCCATTTTTATGCTTGTTTCGTGGATTTCTTTATTGAAACAAGGACTTAGGTCTACGCTCTATATCTGATTGCAAAGTAAGATATGGCGTTTGTCTTCAATTTCAAAAGGCCCCTGAATGACCCAGAGGTCGATATTTAGTTGTAGCGTTGCAGTTATGCCCAAGTCTACAGCGAGCGCCTTCGTCTGCTCATCTGTCCACCTCTCCGAATGCTTTTTCTCAGTATCCGAACACAGGAACAAGTAAGCGTGTATTGGTGGTTTCAACGAATTTTTTCGAATAATGAAAGATAAATTTATTTTGGAGTTTAACGTCCCAAAACCCCATATGATTATGAGAGACGCCGTAGTGGAGGGTTCGGAAACTTAAACCACCTGGTGTTCTTTAACGCCCACCCAAATCTGAGCACACGGACCTACAGCATTTTCGCCTCCATCGAAAATGCAGCAGCTGCAGCCGGGCTTTGATCCCGCGACCTGCGGGTCAGTAGCCGAGTACCTTAGCCACTAGACCACCGCGGCGGGGCAATAACGAGAGATAGATGCCTTCGGTTCAATAAATAGGGAATCAGTATGATACGAAAACTACATAAACAAAGATATAGCCCGACTCGACATACTTTCCTTGTTTCATCTTCATCCTCAACGAGCCGCACTGCCCCACATGTTATCACAGAGGTGGATCCAGAGGGGAGAGGATGGTAGGAGTAATCACCCCTCTTCCACCTAAGGCCTGTTTAGGCACCCGAATCCCCTACCTTCTCTGCCTCTCGTTCACCTGCTATAACCAATTAGGACGACCACTTTAAGCACAAAATAACAGTATTTAGTTATATGGTTTTTGCGATGGTTCTACAACAGCTGAAAACTAAATAATAAAGACTGTCACCCCACTTCTACAACTTTATTTCAAATGACCACCCCTCCTGGTCTAAAATGAGTGGCTGGATTCCCCCTTGTGTTTTCATGAACCATGTAGCTGACCATGTCCCACTTATGACACCTCGACTGCATGTCGAGGTGTCTTGAGTGATTTACGTGTCATGAGTGCCATGGTTAGCGCACCATGCGACACTGAGAATTACTGCTGCGCATCCCCATTCATAAACTAAGCACGATCGCGGCAACGTGATGACAGCTGTGACTATAACACTGAAACAAGTTTGCCATTGACAATGCCTTAACAAAATTTCTACGCGACAATTATTACATTGCCGGCACTGCTGAGCTGTCCGGTTGTCAGCTCTCTCTCACAGGTGAACAGCTGCATGATGCGCGACCTCGAAGATATCCTGTGGCAGTCAAAGGGGCTTGAAGCATATGCGACGCTTTTCAACAATTCCAACATCGCATTTTATGCTAATTTGATAGGAAAAAGATTCTAAGGCTAATGTCTACAATGGCTACGTCACAATAAGAAAACAAAGCGCTCACAGAATGCCCTATGGGACTACTTTTGTATACTGTACCACCTACTTGATGTTACCTAACTAATACTTTTAAGGCTATGGAACAAGTATTCGTACCACTATGTGGAAATGCAGCCCTTTCTATTCCCGTAGCTCACCTTCATTTAGGGAATCCGACAGAAAGTACACAGCATGCCACGTAATGCAAAATAAACATTCATCGCCATCATCATCACCAGCCTGACTACGCCCACTGCAGGGCAAA